CAAAAATCATGATGAGTTATTCTAAGCTTTCTTGTATTATATTAGAACACTTCTAGCTCAGGTTGAAGACATTCTTTTTTGTCTTAAGTGATTATTTACTCAACTTCATCTTATCCACTTCCTCTTACTGAATTTTTTTTAAATGGGGGATGCTTAAAATAAATAGGAAAAAAGAACAGGTCATTTTTCTCAAGATAAGAACAGATGAGAATGTGTCAGTGTGTGACACATAAAACATCACACAAATGATAATATTGACTCATAAAAAAAAAAACCCTAGGTATGAGGCTGGGCTTAGTGGCTCACACCTGTAATACTAGCTATTTGGGAAACAGAGATTGGGAGGATCATGGTTTGAGGTTACCCCAGCCAAAAAGTTCATGAGAGCTGATCTCAACCAATAAAAGCTGGGCATGATGGCACACTCCTGTATATCCAGCTGCACTGGAAGTGTAAATAAGAGGATTATAGTCAAGGCCAGCAAGGGCATAAAGCGAGACCCTGTCTCAAAAATAAAGCAGAATGGGCTGGGAGTGTGACTCAAGTCTTGGAGCACCTGCTTAGCAAGCATGGAGTCCCGAGTTCAAAGCTCAGTACCATGAACAAAACAAAACAAAAACCCTAGGTATGTTGAAGATAATATGGGTTAGTAGGAGTTTAAGAGCTAGGCAAACACAAAAAATGCTCAATAATGGGCTGGAAATGTGACTCAAGCAGTGGAGTGCCTGCCTAACAAGTGCAAAGCCCTGAGTTCAAATGCCAGTATTGCAAAAAAAATTCAGAATAAGTTGTAGGGATCAGGATTTTAGAATAAAAGGAATATTAGAAGTGATGGCGCCCAGGCAAGGTTATGGGGAGAGGCAGAATAAAAGTTCATTGGGAGCCAGGTGTGGGCCACCACACACTCCAACATTCCAGAGTTGGAAACAAAGATTGTGAGTTCAAGGTTAGCTTGGGCTATATGTGAGTTCCAGGCAAACCTGCACTACATAGTGAGACTGTGTCTCAAAAAAAAAAAAAAAAGTAAGACATATCGAAGAAATGGTTCTTTTTAGTAATTGTAGACATTATTAATTGATGAGTAGGGCATCAAGTACTGGAATAACCAGCATTAAACATTAGATGTAGGTATTCATTTGAAGTCATATATTTTTTTCTTTTTGGCAGTACTGGGATTTGAACTTAGGGCCGCATGCTTGCTAGATAGGCGTCCTGCCACTTGAGCCACTCTACTAGCACTAAAATTATATTTTTAAGGGCTTTTTAGTGGAAACTGATCTGTATGTCTTCCACCTTCAGTAATCTTTGATCTGCTGGCTAGATATCTTGCTTTGTGCATGAAGCATGAGACATTGCTACTAGGACAAGTAGAAACTCTTTGGTTGACTATGGCAATATTTGAACCTCAGTTCAGTGAGCACTATCTGCCAACAATAATGAGGCCATGTATTTTATATATAGTCACCCATGAGAGCCCACCTGTTGTTCTAAAGGAAACTGGTCTCCTTTTTACAGATGGTCTTCAAATGTGGATTTCTGATAGCTTGTTGTATAAAGATTTTTTTTTCCCTGTGGCAGCTCAACCTTTCCCCCTTAGGCCTGTCTTTCAGAGATGGTGTCCTACACAGATTTCGCTATACTGACCTACTCTGAGCAGTTCAAAGCACAGAGGTGAGGGTAGGTGGGGGAACTGGGATGCTAAATAAACCCCTCATGTCTGTAGCTGCTTTTTAACAAGTCACCTGGGGCCCTCTAATAGCCCAGAGACTAGAATCTCTGTGATATGAACCTGAGGCAGAATGCTTACCTGCAACCTTTGACTTCCCCCTTGTATCACTTCCAGAAAGGCTTAGGATTTTGGCTTGATGGTGTTGGTGAAGGATGCACCTTTTACTCTTGTGATGGCCTGAAGGGCTTCTGTGAGGATGGTTTAACTTTTGACAGATAGTCTCTATATTGTATCAAGCATCAATGGTTGTCCTGCCTTATCCAGTGTTTTTCCTGTTTACCTAAACTGAAAACCTGTTACAAGCCTATTGCTTAGAAATTGGCTAAATGTGAAAAAGAAAGATATCAGCAAATATTGGGGGATGATTAGTTGCAGTGTGTGGTTGAGAAGCTAAACTTTTCAGGCCTGGCACGGAACAGTTTAACATGAGAAATAAAGAGTTCATCTGCCTTAAACAAACCTGCCTTACCATCATTTGTGCCTTCTTTTTAAAGTTAGGAATTTCTTGGCATTGGCTGTTGGATGATCCATACCAGATTGTACTTCATAAATAATGCCTATATAATTTTATTCTCAAATTCCTGATTTTAGCCTTTGTAGTATCTCCTTTGGTATACTTGTCTGATACCAAGCTTAAGGGCTTACCACACACAAAGAAATGTTGTGAAATTTGGTATTACAGAGTCACCTGTTATCTCACTGTACAGAGACAATACTGTTAGTGCTTAGTGTATCTTTCTAGCCTTTTTTCTTTGTGCCTTTCAATTAGAATTATAGTGTGCATACTGTTTTATAGTTTATTGTTTTTACATAATAAGGATAACAGCATTAAACATTTTTCTATAACATGGTTTTTAATTACTGTATACTTTTTACCATAGGGAGATACTATAATGTTAGGGATTTATGTTATCTCTAAATTATTGCTAATTTTTATGATAAATATTCTTGTGTATATGTCTTTTGTTATAAGCTGCTGAATTTCTGGGTCAAAGAGGTAAGTGGTATTTGGTCTTTGTGCTTTTGGTATGCATTTCCAGATTGTTTTTCAAAAAAAGATGAAGCTAGAAGTCTTTTTTCCTCCTTTGTTTCTTCTAATTTGGTTAAAAATAATTCATCCTAATCTGCTTTTTATTTATTTGTTTCCTTTTACAGATCCTCCATTTAGAAATTAGGTAGAATTTGAAAAGGAAACACTTTAGAGGGTATTTATTTACTTAATTTTTGCTATCTGATTTATCTCTCTGGAGATTTTGATGGTCTTAACTTTTCGATTAATTTCATTTAATTTTGATTCCCTTTGGTAATAAAATAAGATTGCAAAGGTAACAGGAAGTGTGGCTGTGTTCCTAGATTTTTGTGGTCAAAAGCCAAGAAACTGAGTACACATAACTTTATCCCCTTGCCCTTTGGTATTATTGTTAAATCAGGCAGAGCATGAAAGAGAACAATGTGATGGATGGTGTGAAGGTTATAGTGACAAGACACCGGAGAACAGACGAAAGATCTGTAACATAGCATTTCCTTTCTTTTGTACTTAGCTGTATAAACCAGACTTCTTTTTTCAACAAAATTGTTTCAGTGGAGTAGATTACCATTTAAGGAAATAAGTTTTTATTGAAATACCTGAAGTATTTCTAAATGAAAAATTTCATAAAGATTATGTATTTCTCAGAAGAGTGAACAAATAATTTTGTAGATTGCTGTAAAAGATTTTGATTATGAAGTACTGTCTGTATGGCTGAAATGCCAGGGAACTAAGATGATTTTTCGCTAAGTCTAGTGAATCCCAATTGAGATTGTGGGTTTAATGAAATCTATTGCTTTTGGGGAACAGAACTAGCACTGTGTGGGCATTCTAAGTATCTGTGTATAGTGGCAAGTGTCAAATTAGTGTCAAATTGAGTTTAGCTGCAAGTAACATGTTTTTAATCTAACTTTCTTTATTTGATACGATGTAAACAAGTGAAGTCTATAAGAGAGGCTAGCAAACTGTGGTTCATGGACCTAATCTGCACCATCTATGTGGCCTGTGAGCTAAGAACAGTTTTAACATTTTTAAAAAGTTTTCATTTTATCATTTTTACACTTACTCACATGTGTATACATTGTTTGGGCCACCTCTCCCCACCCCCAGTTTTAACATTTTTGAATGGTTGGAAAACCCACAAGGAATACTATTTTTTGATATGAAAATTGTATGGAATTACAGTTTCTGTGTCTTTAAATAAAGTTTTATCAGAATACATATTATATAATTATAATTGTATATTGTGTATGGCTGATTCTGTGCTTCAGCAGTGAAGTTGAGTAGTTGTGACAGAGATCTTATGACCAGGAAAACCTAAATATTTTTACTTTCTGGTCTTTAACAGAAAAAAAAAGCTCACTGGTTCTTATCTTAGAATAGTACATTTTAATATGCCTTCATTTGGGCTTAGTACTTAATCCTGAACAAACCATTTTTTTCTGAGAAGCTTGGCAGTTAACAATCAGTGGTAAGGCTAGGCTGGGGTATGGTTTAGTAGTAGAGCACTTGGCTTGCATGGGTGATCCCCAGCAATGCCCGCCCCATTAGTGGTAATACAGATCTGATGGTTGTTCCCAAACGATTTTTATATGACCTGGTTGTGAATCTTACCTAATGCTATAGATCAGTGACTCTCAAAGTGTTTTTCACACTTCTGGGTATTCTTGAAACCTTTTCAGAGGTCCACAAGGCAAAACCTATTTTGATGATAATATAAAAGTATTAGGACATTCTTTGCCTTTTCATGGTGTTGACATTTGACAGAAGTAGATAGGATTTTATATTCCACGTTGCAACTAGTTTTAAGAAACTATCACTTGTGGAGTTTTGGTGTAGTATCAAAGAACAGTATCCAGAATTATCTGAAAAGACTGTAAAAACACTTGTCCCTTCTTCAATTATATATCTACATGACATTTTCTTCCTATCTTTCACCCAAAACAGCATATAACAACAGATGATAGGTAGAATCAGATATGAGGATCTAGTCATCTTTGGTAACAAAATTAGCAAAACAATCAAACAGTGCCTTTTCTCTCAATAAATAAAATCTTTGTTTTGTCAAATATAGTTCTTTTAATGAAATTTATTATATAATAGTCCTTAATGTTTTGTTAAAAAATTCTGTTACTTTCTTTTTTTTTGGTTTATTTATTCATTTATTCATATGTGCATACTGTGTTACTTTCTTAATACCAATACAGTATTGGTAAATATTTCCAGATGTAGTCCACATGAACAAAAGCTTTTTAGAGTCCTCAATCATTTTAAGAATGCAGAGGAAGGTCCTGAGTTCAGAAGTTGTCTATCTGTTGTAGATTATGCTTGCTTACTGTGAAATCAGTTATATGAAATGGGAGAAGTGATTTTTATTGCTAAATAGTTTAGTAGTATCTATTATTCATATTATTTATATGTAAATATAGTCCAAAGTTTTCTCCAAAAACCTGTGGAAGAGGCTGAAACAAAAATTTCTACAAATTCAAATACATTTTCCAGATATGAATGACTCCCTGAAGGCACACTTCTAAGGATGCATTGTTTAATCATTATGTAATTATTACACAGTTGTCATAATAGTTAAATTTTATGAGCATCTCATGCATGCATAACTATTCCTCATTTAAAGCTCTGCATAATAAGTAAATGATTAAGGAACTTCCTGTTGGTCACACAGTATGTTTTAAGAGGTGGGATTCAAGTACTTTTTTTGATCTCACTCCAGGGTGCTTTCTCTTTTCCCTTATCATAATGCTATTGTTTACTGTAACTGTGTGTCCAAGCAACAGTTTTCTGTAAACAGTTTGCAAGATCTTGGGTAAAGGATCTTTTTGACAGCAAGGATAGATAAAGATTTGTCTTCACTTTTGGTTTAATGATTAAAACAAGAAGATTATTTTCCAGAGTTATAAAGAGAGTTCAAAAGTGAATGAAATAAGCTGAATCCTACACACTGATTTCCATCAGTAAGTTCCAGCCTTCCTAATTTAATTGGTCAATGTGAAAAATGAATCATTATGTTATTTGTGTTCTTTTGGCTGATACTCAATATCTGTTTACTATTGTGATCATATTCCTAGGCTTCTCCAGCGACAGTGATCTGTTGTCTCTTACTGTTGATGTGGATTCACCAGCTGAGTTAGATGATGGAATGGCTTCCAATGAAAGTTCTCCCGTTAGAACTTTTGGTCTCAATCTTTCTTCGGATACTTCAGCACTAGGGGCTGTTGCTTCTGACAGTGAACCAAACAAAGCAGAAGAAGAACGGGAAAGTCGCAGCCTCTTTCCTGGCAGTTTAAAACCTAGGTTTGGCAAGAGAGATTATTTGGAGAAAGCAGGAGAATTAATAAAGCTAGCTTTAAAAAAGGAAGAGGAAGACGACTATGAAGCTGCTTCTGATTTTTATAGGAAGGGAGTTGATCTGCTCCTAGAAGGTGTTCAAGGTACAGTTTCATCTTTATAAACATGTTTTGGCATGCTCTTAGGTTGTTTCTTAGATCTGGAAAAAGTGTGTACACATGTCATTTGTATAATCTTGTACAGAAACAGGTTTAAAAATGAGAAATTACTGCTCCTTAAATGATACTAGCACAGGAACTTAACTCAATAGTTTGGTCAGTTTATCGACAAAGATGGGATTCTTTTAAAAAATCAAGCCTCCAAGTTTTTGTTTTTCCTGACTTGATTATAGTGTACACCAAGAGAGTTTCCCAAGAGTATTCACAGAGATTCTCCAGTGCATTTATTCTCAATGGCCTGAGGAGACAAAAATGGGTGTTTAAATGAACTTTTAAACTATGAGTGTGAAAGGTTCTTGGGTTTGCCTGCCGCTCGTTGTAATTATTGTAATAATTCTCATCTAGTTAATGTAGGTAATATGGTGCACATAGAGTTGAGCTTAACTCAATGTCTTTAAGTAGAACTCCCACCATTTTTTTTCTTTTAAAGTATTGGCATTTGCTTTTGTCCTTTGCTTTTTCCTGTAGAAGCAGAATGAAATATTCTCAGTTACACAACTTTTTGGATACAATAATCAAAGTTCGATGGGACTCCTACAGTGGTTTTCTTTCTAGAAGGTCATCATTTTCTTCATTTTTTAAAAAATTTTTATTTTGTTCATATGTGCATACAATGTTTGGGTCATTTCTCCCTGCTTCCTCCCGCTCTCTCCCTTACCCCTCGCTACCTGGCAGAAACTATTTTGCCCTTATCTCTAATTTTGTTGAAGAGAGAGTATAAGCAATAATAGGAAGGAACAAGGGTTTTTGCTAGTTGAGATAAGGATAGCTATACAAGGAGTTGACTCACATTGATTTCCCGTGCATGTGTGTTATCTTCTAGGTTAATTCTTCTTGAACTAACCTTTTCTCTAGTTCCTAGTCCCCTTCTCCTATTGGCCTCAGTTGCTTTAGTTTCTCTGCATTGAGGGCAACAAATGCTATCTAGTTTTTTAGGTGTCTTACCTATCCTCATACCTCCCTTGTGTGCTCTCGCTTTATCATGTCATCAAAGTCCAATCCCCTTGTTGTGTTTGCCCTTGATCTAATGTCCACATATGAGGGAGAACATGATTTTTGGTTTTTTGGGCCAGGCTAACCTCACTCAGAATGATGTTCTCCAATTCCATCCATTTACCTGTGAATGATAACATTTCGTTCTTAGAAGATCATCATTTTCATTGCTGTTCTTTGACTTGTCAGTGCCATTCAGGTCACCACAGTGTCTTGTATTGCTAACACTTTTTACCATAGTGCTCCCTCTTATTTTCTTGGTGTCCTGAAGTCCAGAACCTTCTGTTTGACTCCTCCCAGAGCATAAATGTTCAGTCTTAAATTGTGATATGAGGGTGTATGCCTGCTTGTGGATCTTTAGCAGTTCTTTGGTTTGTAGCCTTCCCTCCTACTTTCACAGCTATGTAGTGCCACCAGTCCTGGGACTTTTGGAGACTTGCTGTGCCATGTAGGTCAGGCAGCTTTCCCAAGACAGTCACCTCTTTCCTACCTACTTTCTGGATTCTAAAGTGTCGTTGCTATTATCTTCTCTTTCAGGTTCAATCTTAATGGGGTTTCACCTTAAATAAATTCCTTTGCTACCATGCTAATGGAGTTGCAGGAGGGAGCATAGCTGATAAATACACTCGCTTTCCATCTTTTACTGGATTGCAGATTTCACAATAGTTGTGTATTTTGGTGGGCCTGGGGACCAAAAATCTATTACTGCTTTGTGTGTGTAGCAATAAAAGGAGATGGAATCTTGTTATTTATGTTTTGGTTAGTAATTATTATCTTACTGAAGTTGTTGATATAATTATTTGGAATCTGTTTAACATAGTTTCAAATAATTGATTCTCATGTTCATTTTCCATAAAAATCATCATTATATAATTTTAGTTATCACTTTTAATGTTTCTATTGGAGACTAATTCTGAAGTCATTTGTTCTCATAGCTTGATTGATAGGTCATTTTGGTCTCAATTTTGTTTTTCAAATGGTTTCATAGTCTGTTGGGTTATTTGTTTGTTTGTTTGCTATTGGAGCATCCTATTCTAAAAAGGTCTATGCATTTTTGTTCTTTGCCTCAGCTGTCATCTTGAGGTGGGAGTTTCAAATGGGAATGAATTGCACATAATCTGCTCTGATGTTTTCCCCATCTTTCCTGCAGATAATTATGTGCTAAAACATCACTAGTGTTTAATTGACACATCTTTCTGCCTAAAAGTTATTTGCATTTATTCTTAGGACACTTCATAATGCTACCACTTGATGGCACCAAAAAAACAAAAATTGCTGCTTCAAAATAAGAATTATAGATGTATTTTCAGCAAATAACAAAGTAATATTTCCTTTAGTTAGTTACTTTGCTAATTATTGTGGTGAATTTTTTCTCCACTACAACTTGACACTAAATCTGTCAAACTTCTGTCTTAGAGAATGTTAACGTTTAAAGATACTTCTGTGATGTATGTCTTTCCTCCCGAAATCACAGTATCCCTTCCATCTCTGGATTGGGTTTTGTTCTTAATGTGCCATCAAATCCAGAGATTTAATAATTGACTCACATCTTTAAACTTTTTATTGTTTGTTCTTAATGTAATCCATTTTATTCAGACAAACTATGGGAACCACCTCATAGAATTCTGGGTTTTTTTTTTCCTTTTAATTTTTTTTCACTCAGCTGCAATCTTCAGAATTCTGATTTTTTGACTAATATATAAAAGAACCTCTGTTTTAAGCAGGGCATGGTGATTCACACCTGTAATCCCAGCATTCCGGAGGCTGAAGTAGGAGGATTGCAAATTCAAGGCCAGCCTGGACTACACAGTGAGAGTCTATGGGGGAGGTGAGGAGGGAGGGAGGGAGAGAGAGAGAGAGAGATCGAGAAAGAGAAAGAGAGAAAGAAAATACAGAGATTCTTACAGGCTGAAAAATTTTGTTATTTCACTGCTAAACTGAAGTTGCTTATCTGGGATGCTAGTTGATCTGCTAAAGGTGGCTTGGAGCCTTTCTTGCTTAACTTGGGTTTGCACAGCTGAGCCTAGATGCAAAGCATACCAGCAGAGAAGAAGTATGACTGGCTAGGAATAACTTTGAATTTTCTTTTTGAACCCAATTCTCACTTACTCTCTTAGTCCAGAAATGGTTTTTGAAATGAAGAATGTGCCATCTACTCTTCTAAATTCTGGGCCTTTATTCAAAAGTCAAGGCCAAACGTATCAGCTTTACTCTTTGAAGAGAATGTTATAGTACTTACCAACTTTTCATATCCATCTTGTTTATTATTACTGTTAGTGGCTGATAGGATTAATCTGTATTCTCAGGGTGGGCTTATTGGAATAGTTGTGATAATGTAGAGTGGCAAATGCATTACGTAAAGGTATTAATGAAATGTTTAAATAACAGCAACTTGTTATCTATTACATGCCTGTTCCTATACACAGTGTATTTCTTCAGAACAACCCCCAAAGCTGAACTGGCTGGTCACATTGGGCTTTGTCTAAGGATACCGAATTTTAGAGGGTGCAAACATTTAATATAATGATTCTAAAAGCTTGGCACCTACTTAGCAAGAGTAATTATTTAAAACAGGAAGCTACCAGATGGTGAGCATTGTTAGTAACACCCATCTGTGGTCTACATTATGAGTTACCCAATTGATTTGAGGGCTGGTTTTGTATAGTTTATTCCAGGTGCCAGAATCGATGGTTTGCTATGTTTGTAAGGTAGACACTGTAATTCCCATTTTACAGGTGGAGGAAATTAAGATATGCACAAATTGCCATTTGCTCAAGGACTCAGCCAGTAATATTTGAGCTAGGATTTTAACCTAGGTCTTTCCAAATCTAAATCTTGTCTTCTTTCCACTGTGCCATGCTACTTTTCACACACTTCCCTCCTTATTAGGTTAGCTTTTCAAAATGGAGAAGCAGCAAATCTTCAGTGTAAAGTATTAAAAACTTTATTTTGAATATTCATTCTTTTCCCATCTCTCATTTGTTTATTCCACCATTTATCTTCCTAGTTGATCATTCAATAAGCATTTGTTACTCAATAGGGAATATACAATGTTTTTTCCTTGTGAAAATACAATTTTGAGTGATGCCCCTTCAAAATGAGATATTTCTGTCGACTCTGTAGAATGTTAATATGACCCAGGATTATGGAGTATATATTGGTGAGGTACTTGGTACCACACCTGTTGCTTTGCTTTTAACTTGTTGCCCATGCCAGTTTTTAAATCCTCCCCTCCCTCTTTTCTGCCCTCCTGCTCTTTCTCCTCTGCTCCCTGCCTTTTCTTTTCTTCTTTTGTTTCAATTGAAATCTCCTGCATATATTGTGAATGAAATTTATAATGAAAAGATTTCCCTGGATATTGGTAACATGTAATTTTTCTTTGAATGTTTTCAGTTGATGTTTTTGACCAGAGAGACTATTTTTAGTGTTAATACTTGCTTAGAGATACAAACCATGTTCTGCTGTTTTGTTCTGGTAAGTGGCCTGATCTGCTGTACCAAGTCATTTTTCATAGTTTACCCCATCCCTGGGTACGTATGTGCTAGAGTCTTAGGGATATTCCGACATGTTCTGAAAACTGTGACCTTTCTGAAGAAAAAACTTTTCTTATTTTGACTGTTTAGGGTCCCTTGCAGTTTCATATAAATTTAGGAATTAGTTCTTCCATTTCTGTAAAATGGGTACTTGGAATTTTGGTAGGAATTGCTTTAAATTTGTAAACAAATTTTGAGAGTATTACAATCCTGACAATTTTAATTCTTTCAGTCTATGAATACAGGATGTCTTTCCATTTATTTAGGTCATTAATTTCTTTCAGCAATGGTTTATGTTTTCACTGTATGAATCTTTTAGTTCCTGGGTTAAATTTATTCCTAAATTTATTACCTCACTCATTTGAATGGTAGTATAAATGGAATTTTTTTTCTTTTCAG